ACTGTGCCACAAACACTTTGACCATAGGTTTGAGTTGGGGCCAATAAAAAATCATTTGAATGCGTTGGCAGGTACCATGAACACCAGAATGCCCACCTAAGGATGATGTATGCATGGAGGAGATGATATGAGAACGAAGGGCAGTGGAAGACCCCACATACAGTTTCCCATGATACCGCATAATCTCTTCCTTGTAGTGAAAATGAGAGACATTGAAAGGGCATGCTAATTGAGAGGCAATGGCTTCTTGAGCGATGGAATTGCCTGCATAGGTAGCCATTATTTCATCAATCCACTGAGGATGCACGGTGGTGGTGGCAAGGCAGTGGCTGGCCTCTGAAAACTCCCGTGAAAGGCCATCGGCAACTTTGTTTTCGGAACCCTTTTTGTACTCGATTTTGTAGTCATAGCCAAGGAGCTTGGTCATATATTTGTGTTGGAGAGGGGTAGATATTTTCTGTTCAATGAGGTATTTGAGGCTGTGTTGGTCAGTGCGGATGATAAACTGATTGTGAAGAAGGTAAGGTCTCCATTTCTGGGTAGCGAGGAGAATAGCAAGGAACTCTTTTTCATAAACCGATAAACCTAAGCTCTTGGGACCTAAAGCTTTACTAAGAAAAGCAATGGGATGGTGAACAGCTCCCAAGCCCCCATATGAAGCATCAGTTTCCACAATAAACACATGATTGAAATCGGGGAGTTGCAACACTGGTGCCGTAGTCATGGCCGTTTTGAGTTGGTGAAAAGCTTTGTCAGCAGCAAGGTTCCATTTGAAATTGCCCTTTTTGGTAAGGTCAGTGAGAGGTTTGGCAATGAGTCCATAATTTCTCACAAATTGCCTGTAATAGCCAGTCAATCCCAAAAAACCCCGTAATGCTCTCACTGATTTGGGCACTGGCCAATCCAACATAGCCTGAATTTTTGCGGGATCTGGAGCTACACAACCATTACCAATAACATGACCAAGATAATCGATATGAGTCTTACCAAAAGCACATTTGGAAGTCTTGGCAAATAGTTGGTTGGAAGCTCAGACTTCAAAGACTTGGGTCAGGTGGTGGAGATGCTCTTCTAAGGTTGAGCTGTAAACAAGGATATCATCAAAGAAAACTAAAACAAAATCTCGAAGAAAAGGCCGGAATATGGAATTCATTAAGGCTTGGAAGGTAGCGGGGGCATTGGTCAAGCCAAAAGGCATGACTTTAAACTCATAAAGGCCCGAGGTGGTTACGAAAGCTGTTTTAGGAATGCCCGCAGGAAAAAGTCTTACTTGATGATAACCTGCCCTAAGGTCAATCTTAGAGAAAACTCTAGCAGATCCTAGCTCATCTAATAAATCCCCAATTAGTGGTATAGGAAAGTTGTCTTTGACAGTGAGAGAGTTAAGTTTTCTGTAATCAATGCAAAACCTCCACGTACCATCTTTCTTCTGACGAGGAGAACTGG